CGGAAAATAATGGTTACGTTTTAAGTTTTATTTTTTGCTCGGAAAATGATGGTTACGTTTTAAGTTTTATTTTTTGCTCGGAAAATAATCGTTACGTTTTAAGTTTTATTTTTGCTCGGAAAATAATCGTTATTTCTTGACTTTTATTTTTTGCTCAGAAAATAAAACTTAATTTTTGCGTTATTTGCGGTCCCTGCTTTTTATTGCATTTTAAAGACGTGTTTGAGGTTGGGTCTAAATGGGAGGTATGCTTTAAAATACATCGATCTCGCCCATTTTTTTTTTTTCTTGATTATCTCTATAAATGTTGCACACGAAAAATTGAGGTTATACGCCGACTCCTTCTATTTTTCCAAAAAATGTGCGACGTTGAACACTTGAACAATCACAAAAAAAAATTTTAGACAAAAAAATTTCCATACCTATGTATTTGTCAATTTTATTGTGGCTATTAACATTTTTATTTTAATGTCTTTATTGAGCTTTGTACCACGATTTTGTTTATTAGGGAAGATTGAAAAAGCAACAACTTATGGTTGACTGATGCCGCTAGAACCAAACAGTTGCGTGCGAACTACAATAAAATCGACCTGATCAGCTTATTTTAACACATACCTCTTATGTAAACTTAACCTAAAAACCCCTTTAAAAATGCCATAAATGCCATTATTATAACCTTACCTTAAAAGTCGCAAATATGAGCTCCTGTACGCGCTTTCTAGTGAACACGTTGAGCGCATAGGCGGCGAGCGTGCATGACTCATGTTGCGTGCGCGCTGAGATAAATGTTGCTGTAAGTAATAAACAGAAAAGATTAACACATTTTTTTTTTAGAAATATTTTCTTCAATGCAGTTTTCGAAAATATTAACGAAATGAAAAACACTCAATGAGAACATATTTTTAATGCAACTTGAATATTTATATTTCTTTAATTTAAAAAAAAATTTCTAAATTGTAAAAATATTTTTTTTTTGTAAAAGCTGCAATGTCACTACCCCCTATGAATTTCCATACGATAGACGATATACGCTTGCAAGCGTATTGTATAAAATCAGTTATCGTATGTTCGTTTTCATACGCCCGACAGATGTATTATTGTGAATGGTTGTGGTTTTTGTTAACTTTTTATTGTGATCCAACACAAATCAGCCACACTAACTATCGGATTTCATACTATAAACATCGATTGGTAATAGGGATTAACAATGCAAGCGTTTATCGTGCATCGTATGAATTCATAATAGGGGGCTGGTTGGTTACGCTTACGAAAAAAAAAATCATCAACTTTCGTCAAATACTTTAAGAGGAAATGAGTTTTGAAAAAAAGATTGCTTATAAATGTAATTGCTTATAAAAAACTTTAAAAATTAAAATTTTTCAAAAAAAAATATCAAAATCTCTTTCACATCTATAAACCTCTCTACTCACAAATTTTCACGCAAAAATTCCAACTTGACTGAAATCCGAGGTCCAGTTGAGAAATTTTCACCCAGTATCGACTTTGGGTATTAGTTGAAAAAAAGTTAATTTTAATTTTTGTAGTCTCTATAGAGGAACCAAAATTTATATATGATATCTGTGACCGTGGTATTACCGATTGAAAGTATAAATCGCTCAGAGAAATTTGTCAGAAGAAAGTTTGCCTACAAAATTAAAACACTGCAGTATATGAGATTGGCCACAACTAAAGCGGCGACGAAGCTCCTGAGTCTCCATAGAGGAATCTGAACTTTGCCCCCTATGCGGCACGCCTTAACCGCCTCCAATCGGGACCAAAATTTATAAGTGATAGATGTCTTCTACGATAGTAGCATATACGTAGGGGTTGAGGCTTAGGAAATCTGATGTAAAAATTTGCTTCCTACATTTAGAGACCACCCTAATTTACATATATGAATAGTGGCGGAAAAATAAATAAGGACGGGCATTTTAACACGTTGGCTCTTTTTCTTTTGTTTATTTAATTTTTATTATTTTTTCACAAAAGCACAAACAAAAACTATATAAGTCCACATTTCAAACTTTGTTAAAAAATTAGGAAAATTCGACAGTTTCTTCAAAATTTCAAACTTTTTACTAAAAATTTTTAGAAAAAAATTCGTTTGCAAAATTCTGATCAAAAGTTGAAATTTTGAAGAAATTGTCGACTTTTCCCAATTTTTGTATATATATATATAAATATTTCATAATCCAAAGATCGGATCTAAACCAGATTAGTATGGGAACATCTCTGAGACACTACCTTTCTGATGTAAAAAGAATTATCGGATGACGTCGTCCAAAGTTATGGGTAGCATACATATAAAAAAAAAATAAAATAAAAAAATCTGAGGAACAGATAACCTCCTCCTTTTTTGGAAGTCGGTTAAAAAAGGGGTATGAGGACCGCTTGACTCGTACAACCTCAACCTCAACCTCAAAATTTCGAGTAAATTGCAAAAATTGAGAATTTTTGCCAGATTCGGATTCAGTGGGTCGAGATGCATGTCGGTAGGTGGGTCTGGTTAAAAGCACACACCCCTTTTTATGCCAGTGTATTGAGCTATATTTTTTAATAAAAATAATGAAAATTAAATAACAAAAAAAAAATAAGTAAAAAATTGCCAAAACTAGTTAAAATGTCGTTCCTTTCTATTTTTCCGCCATTGTATGCACATAAATATGCTCTCCGTCACTACTCATATTCAATATACACATGCTTCAACAAGAGTTAGAAAAAGCGGTGAAATGAGATACCTTTTTGGAACGATATGTTATATTGGATATAAGCCCTTAAAAAAATATAAAAAAACATATTGTATTATTATTGTGTTTTCATTCGCAGCGTTCCTGCTTTCGAGTAGTTTCAAAATTATTATAGCTGAAAATGGATTCGGATGATTCTAATCCGGGATCTTCGATTTCAAACTCGTCATCCATTTCGTCGGATAACTCCCGATCTTCCCCGGAACCAGTAAATGACGCTGAAGCTACCAATGCACTTAATATAGAGACAAGCGAGAATGTGGAAGGACAGGAATTGTCAAGGCCAAATTCGCGGTGTTCAAATGTTGGTCCGAATTCTCCACATTCGTCTTCAAAATCTGATTTTAATTCATCATCGTCTTCTTCGTCGAGCGATAATGAAAATGGTGGCATTAAATCACCGATTGGAAACTCTCCCGTAAAAAGTAAGTTGCTTTTATAAAATTAACTGAAGCGCATATGTACATATGTATATACACTGAAGAGCAAAACTGGAACAATAGAACGGAAAGTTAAGTTTGAGGTAATGTACTTCTTCAGTTTATTTGCTGTATGGTAATTCAAACTTGCATTTCACCTTACCGATGTTTAACTAAACGCTTGACCATAAAAATTTTAAGATTCGCATATGGAAACTCAGAAAAAAATGACCAAACCAAAATGAACTGGATTGTTCCAGTTTTGCACCCTCTTAGTAATTGCTGAATTTTATAATTCAAAGAGGAGTTCTGGCTCATTTCCTGCAATTTTGTAATCAAGGCGCGTCGAATTTTCGCTGTGAGTGCATTAAGTGCACATACCAAGCAAAAAGAACTTAAAGTTTTTGCACAACGGTCAGAAAGGGCACGCTGTAAAGAAAGAAATCATATCGGCCAAATTTCCGTTTTATGGTTATCTAAACAAGCGATAAAAGGGCGGACCTCAGTCTGCCAGGCTAGGCATATTTGAGGGTCTCTAAATGCCAATAAACTTTGGCAAATGACTGGACATTATGTAAGACATGGGAACAAGTTATTGCAGCACAAAGATAAAGAGGAGAAAGCCTGCTTTGACATCCAGAAAAATTTTTACTCAGAAACGCATTTTTACTAAGAAAAAACATTAGATTGGTATTATTTTGAAGCGGGAATTTACAAGTTCTTCATAAGCGACCACATTATTCCACCAAAATTTACTATTAATTAGGGTACGGCCCTAAATTTGTTAACTCTGAGGATAAAATTAAACGTTTTAAGTCGGAATATTGGCACTTGAACTCTGTGCACCTGCATCAGGGATACGCCTAACGTCCCAAAATATTTAAACGATTAGGTTTGTGTGTGTACATTTAATGATGTAGGGCCGTGTTACGCCTTAGGGAGTAAGAACTGTGGTAAAATCGATGGTAAAAAGAAAAGTGACAACAAATGAGCATTTTCAAAGAATTTGGCAATTTCTGAGGATATTTTTCGCAGGCTTTTATCAATTTTAACAGGACAATGATCAGAAATATCCCTGAAACTGGGGCCAAATAGGTATAAATCCCAAGTTTTTATAATCATGGAGTGACCTGCGTAAAGCCCAGAATTGATTCAACAGAAAACTTATGGAATTGTTTGAAAATGCCACTGTTCAATTGCGAAAATTCGCCCAATCGCATGCAAGACCTTGGGCATGGCGTTGAGGAAAACCGGTGCGCGTTCTCAACAGATTTCGGCTAAAACCTGGGCGAAAGTATCCCAAGATGGCCATAAAAGCTAAAATATTCAAATTGGTTATGGCCAATTTATTAAAAGTCAAGCAAATGGTAAAATTTTCTGTCGGGTGCAAAACTGGAACAATCTAGTTGCTACGTTTTTTTTTGCAATTTTCTTCTTTATCTGCTTGTATTAATTGTTGTTTTTATGGCCTTCTGATGAAATAAACATTGGAAATGTGAATTCCGAAACTAGATTACAAAAAAGTCTTCATATGTTGCGAATCGCAAGAAAATTCACATTATGTATTACTGTTCCGGTTTTGCTCCTCAGTGTATGGTTCTTAGATATTAACTCCTATAACTTACCCTAACGATAATGGTGAAAACTATCACCCGTGTTATGAAATCCGAGTCGGAATCGCATCGTAATTGGAATTCAATTCCGATTCGGAATTTAAATAGTGTTCTGCAACCCGAATGGAACTTTTGTTTCGAAGTTAATACCGAATCCGATTGCAGAGAAAAACGAACAAACTTCCTAGTTGTCAATTTTGTTTTGAAGTGTCGAATTTCATTTGAAAAAATTAAAAAGGTAAAGCAAAAATGTCAAATTGTTTTATTAGCTGTTTTGCTGAATAAAGCGCAGCAAAAAATTAAAAATTTAAGCAAAACATTTTGCGCGATCGTAGCAATCCCATGGAATTACCGAATTCTGCGTAAGTAGGATGCAAATAAAATTATAGTTTAAAAAACTAAAACCTCGCTATTATAATTTCCATTCGTACTGTCATCAGGTATGTAGCTTGAGAATAGAAATCGCTGCATCTTTTAGGCGTATCAATATTACATAGTTACATCCCGAGCTAATAAAAGGGAGGTAAAAACTGTTTTCTCTTGCGGCTCTTCAAACTATCATTTTATATTTTACAGCTTTCTTGCACTCTATAGGATAAAAAAACCGTCTGTAGGAATGGACTCGAACATTGCTTTGGGAAGGAGCACCATCTCCAAGGTAATACCAGAAATTTTTACCTTATGGAGCGGAGGCTTTGCTCAAGTGTATAAAAGTGTATAAAATTGTTCTGAGCAAGAGGGAGGGCCGCCAAAAGTTCTTTCTACGAACACGCAAACCACAAGATGGTTCTTTTTTTTTAACGGAAAAGGAAATCTTAGCATTAATGCGTTGGTTGTGAGTTTTCCAAATCACTTCATTTTATATGAAAAGGTTTTTGTAAAATTAATTTCTCATGTATTTCATTTTAGTTAGTGCTATTGATGCTTGTCTAGCCATGACTCCTTTATTTGGAACATGAGCAACGCAAGAAATTTTTTTATGATTAAGTATCGAGATGATGATCACATTTCGTGGTTATTGGACGAAGTCGTTTTTGTGTTTATTAGGAACCTTGCAAAACCAAGAAAGGTTTTGAAAATAATTGCTGTGTTGCTCCGCATAACAGTTGCCGTTACTACAGTCTTGATTATTAGTATGAAGAAGGTGAAGAAAACGATAGCGAAGTACCAAAGTAAATTAACTTGCAAGTGAAGCACAAAAAATTAGAAATGAAATTGCGAATAATAATAACTCTATTTTATTAAAAGCACTTTTGTAATTTAAACAATAAACAATTTACGCAAAAAAATAACCGTTTTACTCTTTTTAAATCCGAAACGTTTTCTAGCTCCACTTCTAGCTGTCGGCTTGTTCCACCAACGCTTCTTCCACTTTTTTATGGTGTTCTTATGGTGTATATATAACCATACATATATTATATCGTCGATGTTTTTTACGGGAGAGCGGAAAAGGTTTTTCTTTGAAGTCATTGCCTTGATAGGCGGTATTTTCTCTAGCTATTATGTTACAAATCTGTTGTTTTAATAGCGGTTTTATGATTATTATGCATAAATCTCGATGCCTGGAGTTCAGGGTTACCAAATCTAATTTTTGCCACAACGGCGATTTGTCGGTTTTGCAAAAACATCGACGATCTACATATATATTTGAATTAGACGCAACCATAGGGATTATAGCATTAAAAACTGTTTTGAAGTTAGTTGACCCTTCACTAGACCAGAACTTCCTAAAGTAGGTTCCGGGGAACCCAAGGGTTTCGTAGAAAAGTCCCAGGGCTCCGTGAAGTCATTAATTTTTGGAAGTTCAATAATTCAACATCTACATAAGTACAAATCGGGGACCAGCCATCATCGCTTAAAATTCGGCATGAATAAGCGATTTGAGTTGCACACGCAAAGAAAATTTCTATAAACAGCATGACCGAGACGCAATTATCCTTTTTCGAGTATATGTACTCGTAGTTGGTATCATTGTCGTATTGAGTGCCATGGCGTTGAGCGTTGTCAGCTTGCTGTAGCCTAATGATTAGAGGTGTCTTCTACCACTCCGAATAACGTGGGTTCGAGCTCTGGTCAAAGCAATATCGCAAAAAGTATAGAAAAAAGGTTTTTTTACAGCGGTCGCCCCTCGGCAGGCAATTGCAAACCTCCAAATGTATTTCTGCCATGAAAAAGCTTCTCATAAAATCCATTTGCCTTTCAAAGGCAGCGTAATACTGTATTATTGGAGTATCTAGCTCATACAATTGTTGAAAAGATCAGTGAAGTTACTAAATTTTTTCAGGGAATACCAACAGCCGTATTTTTGGCGAGACAAATTATCATCCTTTTAAAGAAAAGTTTTTTTCTAGATTACTTGTGTGGAAAAGAAAAGCATTGAATTACCAAATGAAATGTGATCTTCAGAGTTCTTCGACATTGAAACACACATTTCAGTCGGTGTCTCTGAATGAGTTTTGAGTTAGTGTTAGGAGTGAATACTATAAAGTAGCTAAAGAGCCTTTCTTAACTTTGCTTTCTTCTGTCACAACGTATCGCTATGAAACATTGTTTTCAGTTTATAATTATACAAAAACTAAATTTATGTCGAAATTGGATGCTACCCCAGAAATGCGCATGCAGCTTTTAGACATAATACCGAACTATAAAGCTAGAATTAATAGAACAGTTAAACATTTTCATTCTTTACATTAAAAGTTATAATAGTACATATGTATATACATACATATATCGTCACTAGACACGAATAAGGGCGCGCCATTGTTTTGACGGCGAAAAAGGACGCATTGACGAAAATGACGCGTAAGAAAAAGTTCGGCGAAAAAGGACGCGTAAACCTAGTTGACGGCGAAGAAAGATTTATACCCAGCCAAGGACTGTCACTGCAGCATTATTCCCCAAAATTCTTTGGGGAATGTACATTCTATTACACCCCCAAACATAGTTGACCGCGAGAATAAGTTTACGCGTCTTTATTTAGTAAATATGTATACATATATATGCACATTTCTAGTAAAAGTTTTTATTCATATTTGAATGGCAGTGCTTTGATGTTTAGTAATTTGATGTGGGGCCCCATAAAATTAAAGGTATTTAGTGAGGGTTCTATTATATTTAAAGTTTGGGAACTGCTGCACTAGACAAGTACATGAATGAATTGGATATGGATAATGGTGCATTTACATGGTATGAATCTGTTCATAAGCCGTATGAATTTTCCTATAAAAGAAGCACCAACTCTATGAAGAAATGAATGAAAGCGATATATATTTAACAATTTTGACTTGTATACTTGACAATATTTTTTTTGTAAACAACAAATAAAATAATTTTATTTCGTGCTAGCTTCGAAACCAGAAGCTTATTTTTTTGTTAAATGTGCTTTAAAACGGA